CCCGGAGGGGGAAGCTCTGGGGGGGGGGGGGCGGGGCCCGGGTGGCTACTGCCCCGCAGCCTCTCGCTTTCCATCAGCACCTCAGCGAGAGCTGGCAGGAGAGGCCAGCACAGCCCTGCTCACGCACCAGAGTCCCACTGACCCAGGCTGCTGGCCAGGGAGCCCTCCCCCCGCCAGGTCTACACACAAGCTTAGTGCCCGGCTCAGGCAGGCCTAGCCAGAGCCTGGGGCACGCGGAGGGACCACAAGCTGAGGGCTGTACAGAAGGTGTGTGCGGAGCCTTGCCTGGGGCTGTGCTGGCCTGCCTGCCCACTGTTCGAGGGGCCTTTTCCGCCTCGGCCTGCGGTGCGTCCTGGGGACGTGCGGAGCCCGGCTGAGCTGGTTCAGACACTGCCCAGGGCCGGCTGGGCCTTCACACGCGGGCTGTGACGTTTCCCCTGGGTGCTTCCCAAGGCCCCTCCGCTGTGGACAAACTGCCACGTCAACTTACAGCTCAACCCTCGGAGCTAAGAGCCCCACTGTCCCCATCCCAGGGGCGTCCCAGGCCTGCTCCAGGACCACGGCAGCCATCGCCGGCAGGGACAGAGCTGGAAGGGCCTGGGGCTGCGAGACCTCCTGCTGGAAGGGACACCAGAAGCCCATCGGGGACACTCTCGGGAGCCCTGGGTTCCCAGTGGCCAGAACTCGAGGGGACAGGGTTCAGTCCCTCACACCCCCGCACGCTCCCAGCCCTGCCCACGGGAGCCAGAACTGCGAGGAGCAGGTTCCCCGGGCACACGGGGGCTGGACCCGGGCTGCCCAGCAGGGATAGGCCAAAGCCAGGTGACAGAGCGAAGCTGTGTGAGTGCGGCCCTGGGTCGGGAGGGAGCACACCTGGGTCGGGTGGGACGTGCAGTAAGAAAACAGAACGCTGCTGAAAAGCAGCTTTTAGTTTTAAAATGAAAGATTTGGGGGGGGGGGGGTCTCCCTCCCGCAGATACCGCCTGTGCAGCCCCTCGGACAAGGGCTACAAAACAATCCGTTCCTTCTCTGCCCCCACAAGCCGCGTCCATCAACACTTCCAAAGCGCTAGGGAGCCAGCCAGCTGCCACAGCAAGAGGCTAGACAAGCGGCAGTGGCAGGGAGCCAGGGCCTGGCAGGCATCTATCTAGAGCCACCCGCCTGCCACCGCGGTTAGGTAGGAGAGAGCCTGGACACATTGGAACCGAGGCAAGGAGCGACTGGCCCAGACCTAGAAGCTGCTCCATTCGCAGCAGCTGTCTCCAAGCCAGAGAGGTGGTGTAATACAGGCCAGGCAGCGGGGAAACGCCCAGCGCGCGGTTCAACGGCGGGGACACTACGATTTGGTACCAGCCTTGCAGACCCGCTCTGCAGCCTTTTCCTTGCTGGTAGGAAGCGGCCTGCCTTTGCTCCCCCCACTCGGAGATTACGTTGTGTTTCCCTCCCCCCATCCACATGAACCACAGAGTTAAAATTATTTACACTGTCAGCCATTTAAAACCCCAATAAAAGCAGGCTGCGTCTGTCCTACCGGGCTCGGGGCACAGCAGCCGCTACATCTAGCTCAGGACTCTGCGTGCAAAACGAAAGACAAGTCAAAATACTGCACCATCACGAGGAAGCGCTGGCTGGGGGTGGTGCTACGTTTGCGGTCTGGTCCCCCAGCCCCCCACACACAGAGCGAGGAAGGCCAGGGAGGTTGGGCTATTCCAGACACAGCACATGAACACAGACTTCTTGCCAGCCCAGGCAACACGAATACCTAAAACGCACTGGACATCTCAGCAGGAGTCCACCCTGCCTGCCTGCCAGGGATGGCGACGGGACGAGCTAAGACAAAGACGACGCTGCGCCCGCCTCCTCGGGGTCATCTCGCTGCGGCAGCTCAGAAAGTGCAGGCGAGGAGGAAGCTGGAAGCGGAGCAACAGGCGATTCCAGCCCTTCCTGCCCTCCGAGTCCCAGCTCGACATCCATTTGCTCCAGCTCCCTCTGATCCAGTAGCTCAAAGTCATCCGCTTCCCCCTCCTCCTCAGGAGGAGCCGCTGCCTCCGTCTCCGTCTCAGTCCCCACCACATGGGACTCTGACAGCTGCGCCTGGAAGCTCAGTTTCTCTTCTGGCTCCGTGGGGAGGAACTCGGAGAGGGACGGCCCCTCGCTAGCCTCGGAGGTGAGGGTGTTCTGCACCACCGTGGTGATGGCCGAGGCGACGATCTCCTTGCTCAGCACATCAATGCAGGTGTCCGAGCCAGGAGCTGCCGCAGGCTGCGGCTCCGCGCCCCCGGGCGTGCCCTGCCCGTTCCCATTGAAGTGCGTGTTTACAAAGTGGAGGGGAGAGGCCAGATGGAGGACAGAGAGCTGGGTGTCCGCAGCTTCCTTTTCCGCCGAGTCCAGCTCGTGGGCAAGCCCGGGGCCCACGGGCACGCCGAAGGCATCGTCGTCACTGTGTGGCCCCAGGTCTCTGGAGTGATACTCTTCCACGGAGGGGAACTCGGCCAGGTCCTTGGCGAAGGCCTCCTCCGGCTCACTGTGCAGGCTCTGCCGATCCAGGTCTGAAAGGCACAGCAGGCAGGGCATTAGCAGCGGCACCAGCACGCCTCCACCTCTACACACCCCCACTGCACAGAGCCCAGGGGGCCCCAGCCAGCTCCAGGCGGATCTGTGCCCCCAGGGCCTCTCTGTCCGGGCTGGCATGGGAGCAGGGAGCTGCCCTGTTCTCCCACGTGAGGAGCACTGGAAGGAACACGGGTCTGCGTTCGAGCTCCTGCACGGTTAGCGTCTCCCTGCCTAGGGTGCGGAGCAGACAGCTCCCTGACCAGACTCCTCCGCCTGCCGCTGTGCCTGTCTCACCCACACCCTCCCCCTTTCACTCCCTCCTCAAGCCCGCCCCCCACATGACGAGCGGCACGGCTATGGGATGCGACGCCCCGCCCCACTCGGGACGTAAAATCCCATCTAACTGGTTAACTGGCTAAACGGTAAACCAATTACCCGGGAGGGGATGCTCCAGCCCTACCAGTTAACCCTAACCAGCTCCTTGGCCAACCACTGACATCCCTAGTCCCCAGGGCTCCCTCCCCACTTCCCCGGGACGCGGCTGAGTGCCCCACAGAGCCCTTGCTGTGCCATACGCCACGCGTGGCTGAGGCGCCAGAGCACGCCGTGTCCCTGGGCAGGGTTCCTGCCTCTCTGCGAGCCAGAGGACCGCGCTACCCCCTTCCCAGGAGCAGGGCCCCGCATGGGCTGGGATGTCAGGCAGCAGGGATCAGCCAGCCAGAGCAGTCGAAGCCATGAGGAGATGGCTTAGGGAGATGCCCCAGCAGCAACTGCCCAGAGCCCCTCGCTGCGGGGGCTGGGCTCTCAGCCCGGCTAGGAGAGTTTCCAACAGCCCAGGCCAGGGGAAGATGGGGCCAGTGACCCCCTCCCAGCCCCGGTCTCCTCCAGCCCTCCAGGGGACTGTACCACCTCCAGGGAGCGGGGAGGGGGAGCAAAGCCCACCAGTTCCTACCATCCAGCTGCGTCAGGGGGAGGGTGGGAGCCGAGGTCGCGACTTACCTTCAGACACGTCCGTCAGCTGTGGGGTGGTGGCCCTGGAGACAGAGAAGCCCCCGCTCTCCAGGATGGAAGCCTCCTCGTCAGAGAGCTCAGAGTCCGTAATGGCCAGCGCTAGCGCAGTCTTCTTCACATCCACCTGTGGCGGAGGAGAGCCGGGGACACTTGGCTTTGGCGCCTGCCCGACCGCGCTCCCTGCCAGAGCCGCAGGGGCAGACGCTGGCGGCCGGGTGAGGGGTTACACGGGGCGCTCAGGCTGGTTACACAGAAGTCTCTCGCTGCACCCGGGGCGAGCCTGGACGGGTCTGCGTCCCGCCAGCACCCGGCACAGAGGATCCAGCCACGGGCACGCGTACGACTCCTGAAATCCCCATCGCAGGGATGCAGCGCGACACAGCGGCAGCGCGCCCAGGCCAGGCTCCGCCCCCACCGGGACAACAGGCGGCCACTGCAGATGCTGTTAGGTGACCTCAACGCCCAGCATGGCTTCTGCCACCAGCAGCTGCAGCAACCCCAGGCGCCTGCCCCGCCCACAGCATCGGGCCTTCCCCCTGCCTGCGGAGCACACAGGAGCTCTGCCAGCTGTCTGCACCCCCGCCTGCTGGCCAGGGGCAGGGGGACTCCCTCCACAGCCCCTCAGGCTGCTCCGCTCAGAGGGGGGGAGTTCCGGGAGAGCAGGGCAGGGCCTTCCCACACTACAGGACTCCCCCACACGGCCACCGGGCAGACTGACACCAGGCTAGCAGCGCGGTTCCCACCCACGTGCACCACCAGTGGCCCAGGCGGCCGGCTGGGGGCGCTCTGCTAACCAGCAGGGTGGCACTGGACTCTGCTGGCTGGCCGCCCACGCGCCCAGCTCCAGGGAGCACCGTTATCAGTGACACCGTTCCGAGAGGCAGCTCACCCCTCCAATGCCCTCGGAGGAGTCCTAGCCCGGCCTCGCCCAGGGGAAGGGACTGGCTCAGCTCTCCGGAGAGCTGTGGCTACCTACTGCACAGCTCCTCCTTACCACTGGGGAGAAGCCAGACAGCTCCGCCTCGCTCTCACTCTCCGTCTCCGCCATGGGCTCATCCCCTGCCAGGGGCTCGCTCCGCTCTTGGCGCTCTGTGCGGAAACAGAAGAGACTTCCAGCTCCGGGACAGGCGGAACAGGCCTGCTGGCCCCTCTAGCCCCTCCCCGCCTCCGTCTAAGGGCCAGGCCAGTTTTGTTCTCTGCAGCCCATGCACTGGAGCCATGCCTGGCCCAGGTTAAGTGTGCCCGTACCATGTTCTCACCCCCTGCACTGCATGACAGGCCACAGCCAAGCCAGCTGCCCCTGCCCCCGCTCCTTACCCCAGCATTGCCTGTGCTCTGAGCTACCCTGTCACTCCTAGTCAGAGTCCCTAGGACGCCCCTTTCTTCCCCTGCTGCTCCCCACCCTCCATGGGAGCTCCCCGCCTGCCAGTGCTGCGTTAGCGGGCCCGTGTTCCCAGCCAGCCACGGCAGAGGAAACAGAACAGGCATCGCCTTACTTTTCTTTGCGTGCTTCCGGTGCTGGGTCTCTGCTTTCATGCTGTAGTCCAGCTTCATCAGGACAGGCTCCAGCCGCGTGTACATCCTCTGGATCAGCTCGTGGTACACCACCAGCGGCCACAGCAGCACGCTGAGCACTGGGAATGCAGAGAGAACCCAGAGCCCGTTAGCCGTTCGGAAGGGATCAGCGGGACTGTGACTCATGGCACTGCGCAAATCAAGGGCTCGCCCGTCTGCGCACTGCTGGCAGGTCTAGTCACCAGAGCCCAAGCCCCGCATCCTCAAAGTGGGAAAGGTGCAGAGAAAGACGACAGAACTGAGGAGGGGTACGGGAAGGCCTCCATGCGGAGGGAGTAAGCAGATTAGGCATGTTGAGCGTGGGCAAAGAGATTACAGACCTCTGCCCTATCCCGTCCTACAGGCATGACTGGTGCGGAGAAAGCCACACCATGCCACGTCCCCCTTCAGGTACCAGAACTAGGGATCACACACTGAAAGCTTCAAACAAACAGAAGTGCGCCCTCTTAGTGCACAGTCAGCCTCGCCCGCGGTGTGGGTGAAAAGGAAGGGGATAAGCTCCGGGAGGCCAGGTCCATCAGCGGCCAGAGGTGCGCTCCCTTGCTCTGGGATCTCTACACCTCCACGCCGGAAGCTGGGACTGGATGACAGAGCATGAGTCATGGGACTGTTTATTCTCTCGGCGCTGTCACACGGGAGACTGGCCATTGGTCTGACTCTGTGGGGCGGCTCTTCCACTAAGGCAGGAACCAAAGGCCAGTTCCTTCAGTGGCCGGGCCCACGCGAAGTCAGCTGAAGAGCAGGCTGGTGGCAGTAGCCCCACCCTCACCCCCCCGCCAGCGCGGCTCACTGCCCCACTATGCCAGGGCTGCCTTCCCCCCATGTGCAGCTGTCCTGACCGTCACGCCCCTGCTAGGACACAGCCTGAGCTCTGTGTGGTGCAATCAACTCCCCTCCTTCCTGACCTGCCTCACATCCCAGGTGCTAGTGATTCAACACGGCTGGCTTCTGAAAGGGCAGCAGCAGCCTAGGGCTGGCAAGCACAGGGGTGCCCCAACTGGAAGCCAGCATGCCCAGCACCTGAGCAACCCATCAGCTAACGCTGCACTCGAGCAGGGGCGGAGCAAGGGGCCAGCTGTCCGCGTTTCCAAGCTACTGCTCTAATCAGAGAGCAAAGCTCCTTAGGGTCGCCGAGGACTCCCATTTCCTGCCGACTTTCCCTCCAGCTGCCCAGCAATTGTTCCATTCCAAACCTGGGAGACGTGGACTTGTTCTGTTAAATGTCCAAGGGACACTGCATTTCTCTGCTCCCTGACCATGTCAGAGATACCCGGAGGGGGGAAGTAATGTCCTTCATCCGGCCAATCCCCTGCCCCCCCGCCTCTCACGCGTTCTAACCAACATGCCTCTAATTAGCCTGCTTGCAGTCACAGTGCTCATACCATGTGGCCTGATTTAGGTTGGACATGAGCAGGGCTCAACAAATAATACAATCTACTCGACCAAGGCGAGGAGATTGTAACCCAGAGGAGCCGGGTTTGGGCGATCTGTGCACGCGCAGATTGCCGGACAGAGCGACCAGTGAGTGGGGCTCGCCGCGGTTCCGTGAGCCCTGGACATGAGGGACAACTTCCTACCTGTCAGGTGGTTAACACTGGAATAAATTGCAGAGGGGGGTTGTGGAATCTTCAACACTGGAGATATTTAAGAGTGGGCTGGACACACACCTGTCAGGGACGTCTAGAGCTGAGCAGGGCTACTCAACTTTGGAAGCCCCGGAGGCCACTCTGATACTCACAGCACATGCCAAGGGCTGCAACTTAAGTGTGGTTGCATATCCATGCAAATAGATATGCAAATAGATGCAAACAGTTTCTTTCACACTGACGGGCAGGAATACAAAGTTTAAGGCAAGACTACACAACACACGGGCCCCGTTTAAGTCAGTTCTGCTGATATTAATAAAAGGCAACATTTACCAGACTTCCACCCATAGGACAGCATTCCAATGAGCAATGGCAGTCCAGGGATGGAAACGCATCCCACCAGAAGACCGGGATATGGACTCCTTTTCTGTTTTGACTCCCACCCGCG